ACGTCACTATGAAACACGAGAGCCTCAGCGCTCCACAGACACGACTGAGCAGCCTGCGGTCAGTCAGCACGGCGAGGCTAACCATGCTAGCTAAAGATGATCTGTTTGCAGAGTTTCCTCAACAGGCCAACATGATTCCACATCATCCACGGGTCAGAACATAACCTAGCTGGAGCAGAAGACGAGCCTCTACTCTAACGTTAAACTCTTAAACCCAAAGTTTAGGCTCAGCTCCAAAGGTCAGTCTGTACGTTTACACAGTCGACCTGAGATCAAATAAGACTTTTCCTTTATGATTCTCTGATTTTTCTCTTCATCCTGTTTCAGTCGCTCTGCATCTGGAAATCAGCTCAGCACAAAACCAACTCTGAACATTTGTGGAACCATTTTTACTCTAAAACAATGTTTTAGAGGTTTAAGTTACGAATATATGTTTACTTTTTACATCATTCACGTTTTACTACATTTAAAATTATGTATTTCATTTAAAAACTCATTCAAGTGTGGTCTCTGCTGTGATCAGGACTCTTACTCTTCTCTTAACACAGTATTTTCAGCTCTATTAATCTGCCTCTTTGGGTCGAGGCTCATTAGAGAGGAAGCATCTCGAGGCATGAGAAGGCGAGTCAGACTCGCTCACTACATTAATTAATTAATTAATAATTCTGTTTATCGGGCAGCTCATAACGTCTGTGTGTCACTGCTGTTCTGAGCTTTAATGTCTGGGTAATTAATATTTAGTCAAAATAATGACAAATATCATTATTACTGAGTTTAAATACACAGGGTCACCTGACCACCAGTGAGTCAGCCAGTTTACAGAGTCCTCAGTTTTACCCAGAATGAACTGGAGTCACCGTCACTGGAGTTACTCCATATTCATACAGCACCAGTGACTGTAGAACATGACTGAATTCAGCTCCTGTCTGTATTTATGATAACAGGAGAAGTTAATGGACGTATTAAGATTGTTTAGTTTTGGGATTAAAGAACCTGATTTTTTAAACGTATCCAACTGAATTCAGACTGCAGATGGAGAACGACCCATAAACGCTAACTCTGCGCAGCTGAATGTTGGACAGGCGACTGACGCAGTGATGTGTAGTCATTTTTGGACTAAAATGACTCTCAGTGGTCACTATTCAGAACGTAAACGCCTACAGAGGTGAACCCAGTCTCTGTGGGTTCTGCGTCAGCTAGCTGAGTGTTTCTGTTGGTTCCTGATAGATTTGTGTCTGTTGGCTCGTTAATGGGCTGATATGAGGATCCTAAAGGAGCCTGAATCCTGACGTCTCCCTCTCCAGGCTAAACGCAGCACGATGAGCCACACAGATACACAGCGTAGCAGTGTCCAGTCGTTTGTACAGGTTTACACACACAAGTTTAAACTTGACGGGACAGCTTTACACTTTTACTCGTTCAGCTATTTCTCAGGTTCCACGTTAAAGTTGGTGAATGAACTGTAACGTCCAGCTTCTAGTGCGACGTCCGCACCACTGCTGCTAGCGTTGGCCGCTAACCCTCCGTAATCCGATCTCACAGAGACTGAAAGTCTGATGTTCTGTCAGAGTTGACGTGCTTTATCAGCCCTGACGCTCCTGCTGGGGGCCTGTTTACGGCTGAGCGACTGTCCGTCAGCGCTGACCACGCGGTGCTGATCAGCACCGTAAACCAGAGCTGAAGCTACAATCACTGCCGGAACCAAACCCCACGTCTTACATGGTTCTCTGCAACATGAGATGGTTCTTCAGACTGAATTTGTTATATATGGTTCCATATAGAACCTTTTTGAAAAGGGTTCTATAAAGCACCATGAAGGGTTCCTGTGTTGTATACAACACTGACATCGTAACAATAGCAGAACCTTTTTTGGTGCCATATAGAAAAAATGTCCCAAGTTCTTTGCATGGTGAAACTACTCTCTAAACAGAACCACTGCCTTTACTAAAGAACCCCTGAAGAACCTCGCATCTCCTTTACAGGACAGGCACAGGGAGGTTTTCACAGAACAGAGCTGATCATAAACTAAACACTGACATTTTATTTTCTCTGTTTTTGACAGGAACAACAGAGACACGTTCCCTCTTAAAGGTGGTTCTTCAAGGGTTCTTTAGTAAAGAAAAATGGCTCTATACAGAACCATGAACACTCAAAGAACCCTTTGCATGATTAAAGGGTTGTTTGCATCATTAAATGGTTCTTCTTCAAATTGATGGAGAATGTGCTGTACATGGTTCTATAGAGAATCATTTTGAGAAGGGTTCTATGTAGCACCAAAAAGGGTTCTTCTATTGTGACAATGTCAAGGTTGTGACAGTAGAAGAACCCTTTAAGGAAAACGTTCTGTATAGAACCATATACAACACATTCTCCATCAATCTGAAGAACCATATCACCATGCAAAGAACCCCTTAATCATGCAAATGGTTCTTTTAGTGTTCATTGATCCATATACAGCCATTTTCTTAAGAAAAGAAACCTTGAAGAACCATGTTTTTAAGTGCTATACACATCTGCAACACATATGTAAAAGTTCTAGTTATTCATGTCACTGAGAGATGGAGAATGTGCTGTAGATGGTTCTATATAGAACTAAAAAAGGTTGTAACAAGAGAAGAACACTTTTTGGTGCTATATAGAACCATTTAAAAAGAAAAAAAGTGATGTAAAGAACCATATACAACACCTTCCCCATCAGTCAGGAGAACCATATCACCATGCAAAGAACCATTTAATCATGCAAAGGGTTCTTTGAGTCTTGGTGGTTCTATAGAGAGCTACTGTCTTTACTAAAAAAACCCTTGAAGAACCATCGTCTTTAAGTGTTATACACAAATGCAACACAACGTACGTGAAGGTTCTAGATAATGTTGATCATTAAGATATCAATGAGATATTTGTACAGACTGTAAAGGAACTAAAGCTCAGACTCCAAACACGTCTCGGCCGATCCTCTACACTCTTAAAAATACGGTTCTTCAGGGGTCCTTTAGTAAAGACACTGGTTCTATTTAAAACCATGACTTCTATATAGAACCATTTCATGCTTTAATGGTTCTTTGCAAGGTAAAATGGTGGAAATGTGTTGTATACGGTTCTGTATAGAACTTATTTGAAAACATTTTTATAAAGCACCAAAAAGGGTTCTGACACCGTAACAGCAGCAGTGCTTTATAGAACCATTTTCAAAAGTTCTCTGCATGGTGAAATGGTTACTCAGACTGACGGAGAATATGTTTTATATGGTTCTGTGCAGAACTCTTTTGAAAATGTTTCTGGGTTCTGCTGCTGTTACAATGTCAGGCTTATATACAACAGAAGAACCCTTTTGGGTGCTATAAAGAACCGTATGCAACACATTCTCCATTTCACCATGCAAAGAACTTGGCACCTTTTTTTCATACGGCACCAAAAAGGTTCTGCTATTGTTACGATGTCAAGCTTGTATACAGCAGAAGAACCCTTCATGGTGCTATATAGAACCTTTTTCAAAAAGACTCTATACAGAACCACATACAACCCATTCTCCCTCAGTCTGAAGAACCATCTCACCATGCAAAGAGCCGCTAAGCATGCAGAGGGTTCTATACAGAACGTATGGCTCTAAACAGAACCACTGTCTTAAGTAAGGAACCCCTGAAGAACCATGTTTCTGAGCGGGTACTCTGGGGTGGGTGTACTCCGTTATGATGTATGTTGTGTGTTCAGCGCTCGTTACTGTTTGGGCTCCTGGTCCAGTCAGTCGCTGCGTCTCTGACCGAAGTGACCCACACCGTTCAGTACAGGCACTGATGTTGTCTTCAGTCGCGCTGACGAGGTCAGAGACCTCAGCAGTCAGTCAGTCAGTCGCGTCTCTGGAGGCTCTGCTGCTCAGACTCCACCTCGGTGTGGATGAGTGGGGGGTGTTAGGACCCCCAGCCCCCCGCGGTTCAGCTCCTATTTTTACCCCGGTATGTGTGTTTCAGACTTTCCGCAGGGCTGAGGGGAACCTGAGAGCCGGAGGGGCTTCGGGGGGTATTTATAGAGACGAGAGAGAGAGACAGAGAGAGAGAGAGAGAGAGAGAGAGGGTGAGAGAGGGTGAGAGAGACAGAGAGAGAGAGAGAGAGACAGAGAGAGAGACAGAGGAGAGAGAGAGAGAGAGAGACAGACAGACAGACAGAGAGAGAGAGAGAGAGAGAGAGAGAGAGAGAGAAAACAGCCCAGCATGTGTTTCAGAGAACGAGAGCAAAATCACAGCAGACTCATCTCCTCACAGCAGGACTCCAACTGACTCGAGGCAACGGCCGCTTATAGTACACGGCACTATATATACACACAGAGGACTGTGGAAAAGTCAGAGATCAGACACATATCAGATCAGATCAGATCAGATAATCCACCTCATAATGAAGGAGGAAATTAAGCTCCAGAAAATAAATGTGTCTCCTAACAACAACCTGGAAGAGCTGGTCGACCCCAAAACTGCCCCCATCAGATAAACAGCACTTAAAGCTTTCATCTCTGAGAGAGAGGAGAAAATCAAGCTGATCAGATCTGAAAACATCCACAGGTGTTTCTGTCCATCCTTCCACTGTGAGAAGACGACTCAGCGCTGTGGGTCTGAAAGGATGTGTAGCTGTTCAAGAAGAACCTCACTGAGAAAAGGAGACGGACACATCAAACAAAGAAGCTGAACGATGGACTGACCACCCCAGAGTCCAGACCTCAACACCACTGAATGTGTTTGATTACTTCAGAAAATCATCAACCAGCTTCTAAGACTGAACTTTGGAGGTGTGTCTGCAGATTCTTTGAGGAGCTGAAAGTGAGTCTCCTGAAAGAGTGGAGGCTGGAATGAAGGGAGAGTGACTCACTGACTCGGACAAAACCAGTGAAGGTCCCCGACACACAGTACAGAACACACAGCACATAGAACCGTTATAACATCGTTATTACTGTTATTATCACTCCACACTCCTCCTACCGCCCAGTAACTAAACTCCTCTCTCGTGCCTCTTACCTGTTTCTCGGGGCTGTGCGCGTGCCGCTGCTGCTCCGCGCGCTCCATCAGCCGCTCATGCCTCGCGCTCCCGCTGCGTGCGCTTCCTTCCTTCTGCGCTTTCTGTTCCGCGCGAGAGCCGCTCTGAGCGGAAAAGCGCGCGCGACCCTCGCGCGCTGGGAGCGAGCCGGTGACTCCGCCCACAGGCGCGAGAGAGCCAGTACACCACACACATACGCACGCTCGCTCGCTCTCTCTCTCTCTCTCTCACACGCGCGCACACACACATACACAGTAAGAGCAAAGAGGATAATAATAATAGTAATAATAATAATAATTTTATCTCAATCTTTATCTACATCTCTCTCTGCCTTTACCTCTATCTGTACCTCTCCTCTATCTATATCTCTGTCTATCTATCCAGCTAGCTCTCTCTCTCTCCCTCTCTCTCTCGGGGATTTGCACTATTTTTTGCATAGGATTTCTGCATAATTAACTGGTTAAGATGTAATCAGAGCGGTTCAGAGCGGTTTGGTGTGAAACGCTCTGTTCTAGATAAACTTACCGAGTCAGAACTGTTCACAGTGGTGGTGATAGGAACCAGACGTCCACCTCTAAAAGCTCCCTCACAGAAAGTTCCTACACTGTTTTACGATAGTTTTGAGAAGATTTTGGCCCAGTCACAGTTCACCCCTCGCCCCTACCACTCAGCCCTCAGCCTCTTTGTGCATTCTCGTCTAGGTGTAGGGTGTCCTGGTTCTTGTTGAGATAGAGGGGGAGGGTGAAGTGTTGGGGCTACATGACCCTCCATACGGAGGTTTTTCAGAGACTCCAAACAGACAGTTATGAGAAAACAAGAAAAACCGGCAAGATGGAGAACAAGAGACCAAAGAAACCCACAAATGTGAGAATTTTCTCTGTTAAAAAATCACAATAATCACAGTTTTATCTTTGTTTAATGTCGTTTCAGTGTATTTTGGTCCTTTTCTTCATAATAAGCATATAAATCAGACTTCAGCTTCATATCACTGGAGAATTAGGGGTGGTGATAATAAATAATTGCCCCCCCCTTTGAAGATCATATGATGCCCTAAATGTAACTAAAGCCCAGCAGTGAGGAGCTGAACTTTACCCTCCTCTGCTGTCACTGCAGACTGGCAGGGTCGCCTACAGAGCAGCGCTGGTAGCTGTTAATGAAGTGATGCTCTTTTTATTTGAGGGTCTCATTTCAGAGGGAAGAGTTCGACCACTACCCTGTAACTCAGTTCCAATGGGTTAGGGTGACACTCGAAAACAAGGGGTAGGGGTTAAATAAGGGCCTACATCATCTTTAAACTCCATTCATGGTGGAGGGATACATGCAGGGCGCTGTGAGGCAAAATAGTCCCCAAAGAAAACTTAATCAACATTCCATATAAACTCAGAAGACTCGTGTAGGTTCACTGGTGGTTCTGGATAGTAAATAAAATGTCTATATTTGTGTTGTAGTCATGGCGACCCCTGGTTCCTATCACCACCACTGTAAAGACATCTGAACCATCTCACACCAAACCACTCTGAACCTCTCTGATTACAGCTCACACACTGAATTATGGGAGAAATTCTGAAAAATGGGTGGAATTCCCCTTTCAGCTTTAACGACTGTCTTCCTACAGAAGCAGTGTTTGTTGTGAAGACTGTGCTGTTTTCACTCCTCCACACCACATTTCTCCTGTTCAGGTAAAGCCAGTATCAGTGCTGACACGTCCGTCGCTAACCCAGCGCAGCAGGAGCTCCACCGTCCAATTACTGCGAATTTCCTTCTGAAGTTCAGTAAAAACAAACCCGTTTCTTTAATTAAGGGTGACTTTATTCACGACGTGTTCACATCACACACATTCCTGCTCCTCAGGGAGGAGGACATTTCATTAAACTCCAAATAATCATCGCCTCTGGACCAAAAGAAACTCAGCTTCAAACTCAATCAGGCTTTTAGAACCCAACTCAGGATCACGTCGTCTCCCCGTCTGTACTTCAGTCTACGCGAGTCAAATTTACACATGGAAGCATTTCTTTGTTCTGTTTTGGTACGAGAAGCTGAGACGCTTCAGCAAACACAGACACGCACTCGGCTGTCTGGACCCCACGACAACCTGCTTTAAACAAAGTTCTCTCTGATTAGATCTGCAGAGTCGCTTGTTGATGGTTTGTGATGGTTACCTTCATAATACTGGCATCTCAGAGGGCTTCACCACGGAAATGAACCTCAGTGTGAGCATCCTGACCAATCACAGCTCCAGAGGAGCTCCTGTGGCAGTTTGGATGAATCAGTGTTAACATAACCCCATTACAGTACATTATCTTGGTCATAATGAAGCCCACCCTGCGCAGCCCTCAGCGAAAAACACCCCTCAGCGAACACACCCCTCAGCGAAAACACCCCTCAGGGGAAAACACCCCTCGGCAAACACACCCACCGCTTTGAAAAACTACATCTGACGGTTTTAACTTCAGCTTCCGATGCACAGTGTGGGCATCTGGG